TAGCTTTTTTCCTCAAGGTTTTCCTGTTTCTAATGCCGGTATCCAGCTACGTTTTTAAGATCCTATCAAAATGATAGCTCTCCTTCACATTACACAATGGACCTCTTCTCTGTTCTCCCAGGCAATGGAAAAGGGGCTTTAGGAGCCCCAGGCAATGATGAGGGCGATTCCAACACCACAGCTGTTGTAGAAAGCACATAGGGGCAGTACAGCCCGATGGAGATGCTGTACCACCAAGCGTACAGGAGTCACAGGGTCATACCTGCAGCATCGGGCTTATGACCAAGGTGGCTTTGCTCCCGAACCCAGTCTAGGAATGAGCTAAAGCCCCTTTAGCTTCCCTTTCCACATGTCCCAAACCCTGTACTTAGTGACCCAGGACAGATCCTCCTGTGTGAAAGCTCCCTGGAAGGTAGCTCCAAGCAGTTTCTCAGCAAAACGATCTCCACAACACAGATGTTTATTTGCAGGTACCCAGAGCTGCAAGCCAGGATGGAAACCCCCGTTCAGTGAGCCTCAGAGGGAGCCAGCCAGCACAGCAGGAGCTGTGACCTCTCCAGGAAACTCAGCGCACACAGCTGCCTGGCTACAGGGAAGGTGGACTGGGCCTGGGGCACACTGCTGAGGGCCGTCTCCCACCCAGGAACAGCAACGAGGGATAGGATGCTTACAGTTCCAATCCCTTCTGTTAAGTGCTAGCAGGAAGACCTGAACCATTGTGGCTGCCTGCCTCGGGTGAGAGATGTTGGAGTTTATAAAAATCTGGAAGTATTCAAAGTGCTACTTTTGCTAATTTTCCTTATCAGTGGAAATGGAGTGGTCTTGAGGACATTCATGCTGAAGGCAACCCCTGGAATTTTTACAGTGTACTTTAAAGGAAGAATGGGATTGTTGAGAAGTCATTACCACTGGTATTTATTTTCTCATTCCAGGATGTCAAAACTTTTCTCAGTAGCCCAGATCACATTTCTGACAGCACAGCCAAATTCACCAGCGATGCTTGATCCTGCTGTTGCTCTAAGAGCTCTTTTTTTTTTTTTACAGGACACGCTCATCATCTTAGTCGTCTTCTTACCAAGTTGCTGTTGTGATGCTTCACTTTAAGGCCACAAAACCATCCGTGTCCTTGACATGACCCAGACATCCATATCCTGTATGAAAAGGATTTTAATTTTATGCCAGCAATAAAAATTGATCACTGGAAAATTTATAATTTGAGACCCCATAATAATCCATCTCAGTATTCTGCAGCGCCAGCACCCTGAAGTGTTCTGAGAGGTGGCACGGGCACAAACCACGAATTCCTCGATGAAACAAGAAACAAGCCTCTCCATCAGCCTCTGGCCCTCTGCTCCCCTCTCCGGCAAGTCCTGGGGCACGAGGGCTGCGTAGCTATGGAGGGACGCCCTGCTCTACGTCACCCCTCCCTTTCTGATTTGTTCCATCCCGTGCTGCTGCAGACACATTTCTAATGAGAAAAACAAAGACGGCCTGAGGACAGACACTACTGGTAACTGAAAATTCCTTTAAGTTTGCATAGGGAGATAGAAAATCTAACATTTTGGGGCAAGGGAGACAAATGATGGGTGCTGCCCAGATCTGGCTTCAGGGAATTAAGACCTGTTTGGTTTTTTTTGAAGCTGAAATATTTTATCATCTGGTAAAACTCTTCCAATCACTACTCATAAAACCTTCAATACTTTTCCAGGTACTCGGATTCAAAAGAAATGTTGGATGGTCCTTATGAACAGTTGTTTCTACAATTAAAATAGTTTTCTTAAGAAAATTAGCTTGCAGTACTTAGAAGCTAGATACAGAAATAGCAACTTCTGACGCGCACTGTACAAATGCCCTAAAGTACCAGCATCGAGCAAACAAAACCGATTCAAATAAACAAGAAGGCGGCTTGTATTTCTAACACACGCACACATTCCTGAGGGCTGGGTCAAATAAACTGCAGTGACCGAGATAAGGGACAGACAGAACTGAAATGAGAAGGCGATAGTGATGCTCTGGCTTCCAGTACGATTTAAAAGACACAGGTGTTCAGAGGCTCATTTCGTCCCCTTTCTGACATAGTCATTGTTGCTGATGCACTTTCAAATTTCTGTGTAAAATGTCTCCTGGGCCTGTTGGATGTCTGATGGAAGACAGCTGGCTAAATTCTCTTCAAATTAGTGGCACAGGGGTTCCCAAGGTTTTCAGACTAACAAAACATCAATACTTCTTGCTGCTAGTATCATCGTATGTTGGGGATTAAATGTTTAGGTTAAAATACCATGTAGTGTAGCTCTGTAGACTTCCTATGGGGACCTCAGATGGTGACCACCTACCTCTTGTGAACTGTGCTGTGATTTTCCTAGGAACACACACCAAAGATGAGAAAAGTTGAAAATACTTAATTTCATCTTTGCAGCCATAATACAAGTAGATGTAGTTGGCATGTAGCTGCTAAGCCACTCTCCCTGTCTGGAGTCATGGCAGTCAGGCAAAGTCCCTGTGATGGGAAAAAGGAAAACATCACACCCATCTTTAAAAAAGGTAAAAAGGAGGACCCTGGGAACTGCTATCCAGTCAGCCTCACCTCTGTGCCCAGTAAGATCATGGAACAGACCCTGCTGGAAGCTATGTCAAGGCATAGAATAGCTGACTGGAGTCAGCCAGCATGGCTTCACAGCGGGCAAATTGTGCCCCACTGGGGGCCTCTAAGATGGAGTGACTGCGTTGGTGGGTAAGGGCAAAAGCAACTGATGCCATCTACCTTGACTTCTGTAAGGCCTTTGACATGGTCCCACGTAACATCCCTGTCACTGAGTTGGAATGGGATGGGTTGGACAGATGGACTAGTCAATGGATAAGGAAGTGGCTGGGGGGGGGCGGCGT